TTACACATTAACTCTTACAGGATGGAGGACACTGGTCTTGGTGGAGGTTTGCACTCTCCCAGTGCTTCTAGTTTCAAATTGTTTTGTAACGTTTCCTCCTAATAGTGTGAATTCCCCAAAAACTCCAGAATATGTTGAAGAACTGTGGCTGTGATCCAGAACCTGAAGATATTCGATGGAAAACTAATGAAACAGAAAGAAACCAACATTTTATTGTATTTAATGTAGGAAAAGAAAGCCCGGCTCTGTGTCTGATCTATGATTATGGGTTGAACGTGAGGAGGAGAAAAGCAGCACGAGCTCCAGATGAAAGCTCATTTGTTAAAAGAAAAAAACCTAAAAAACGAGAGCAGCTGGAGGATGAATGTAGGAGCTGATCCTGCTGCATGCCACAGCTTCACACATGACGGTGTTAAACGCTGCATCAGAACCGCGAGCAGACAGCATTGTTCCCATCATCACCATCATCCTAATCCTTCTCTAATTTACTGTYTCCTGTCCTCCGTTTGTCTCCTCCTGTCATCCTCGCTCAGAGACAGAGTCTGGTTTCCTTTAACTAGTGAGCCGACAGTCAAACCCTTCCTCCTCTCACAGCCTCAATTATTCAGCAGCAAAGAGTCCAAATCAAGTGACTAATGACTTTGATCAGGAGCGGCTCGCTGGCACCAGCAGAACCTCCTGCACTAAATTAAGAGCAGAATCCACTCTGTGTCTGAGTCTGTCTGCAGAGCTGCTGCCGTCTGAGGAGGAAACAGGAGGTCTGTTTCTGAAGAGAGTGGTCCCAGGACCAGGAACCTGGACCAGGACCAGGAACCTGGACCAGGACCAGGAACCTGGGCCAGGAACCAGACCGGTCAGGTTGGGCCACATGTGGAGCAGGAAGCAGACAGAACAGAGCTGATGTTAGAGCAGGTAAACACAGTGAAACCAGTGAAAACCATTGTTTTCACTGGTTTCTGATGAAACTGATTAAACCCTGTATGTGTCACAACATCAGTGTTTCATAAACCTGTTGAATTCTTTAAAAAAACTAAACTGATTTAATGAKAAAACATCAGTAAACATTTATTTATCTATTTTATTCCACATTCAAAGA